CTCCGCTGTCGATATTAATCGTTGCGCGGCGCGCGTTTCGAAATTCTAATCCATCGTAATGGAATTAAAACGGGAACCTAGGGAGGGAGGGAGGAGCTGAAAGAACGAAGGAGAAAAAGTTGAATGATCGATCGTCGAACGATACCCGTTCGTTCGAGTGGTATATCCGGAGCATCGAGCACGCGTAGAATTTAATGCGAGTCCCGTAAAAAATGGTTCCTCGTGGAAGTACCATTTTTCTACTAGGATAGACTTCGTAGAAATTCAATTTACTATCGAACGACGGACATCGTAAATCATTTGGAATTATTTTCCAAAGAGCCGCGGGTTTTTATCGAGGGTGGGAAGGGGGATGGGTACCGAACCGGCAAACACAAACGTTCAGGAACGATAAAAGAAACGAGGCGTTCCTGGAATATAATCATGCCTGGAACACGAAGAGGATACGATATCGATTCAAGGCTTCCGATCTTATTCCGTATTAATATTTAATTAATTGATTGATTATTTAATTATTGTGTACCTAAACTTTCTGTTTGTCCTCTAGGGTTTCATATACTTGTATAGTGAACCACCCTTTGGTTGTCCTTTTTTATACGTTTAGATATACAATAGTTCGTAAAGATATACAAGACTTTAAACAAATATTTCTTTTGCCGTAATTTAATCGAAACTAAATCATTCCGTATATAGGGTGGTAAAATAACTTTGACCACCAGGAATGTCATTCAGTATTTACACAATTTCAAAGACCATTCATTCGCACACCTTTGTTCCATGTTACGTTTATCATGTATAAATGGCTCTAGACGACAAACTTTGTCCAAATTTGACCTTCGACAAAATGTTCTGAACAGTATTCGAACGTTTCACGGGTCTGCCAGTTCTTCATACGAAAATCTGGATTTATCCACAAGCACAGATTCCCTTCGCCCTGTGTAACGGTGGCATTCGGATCAATCCTGATTGCGCTAAACAACCGTCATATACCATGACGAAGTATGTACGAGACGACGAGTTCACGCGGCCAGTCTTCCCATTGTCAGCGCCTGGCTCACCTTGTTCGCTCGCGTTTCCAGCATTGGCAAATTGAGACTGATTACATCTGCGTCTTTGATTCAACCCCATATCTGCTGTCCGTGAAAATTAGCGAGCCGTTAACGACAGACCACATATCCCGTCCATTCCTGGAAAGGTATGCCAGCACTCCTACCTTTGAATATCAGTGCTCATTGGGAGGGAAAATCCTATGCATGTTAAACGCACATAAGAAGTAGATGAAAAACCGTGAAATTCCTTCAGAATACTCTCTCGTTAAAAGATGTCCATTTGGGAGAGCAAAGTTTAACCCTTAAAGAGGAACCACTGTGAAACTTAAAAGAATCGATTTATTTTGTAAGTTTAACTCTTCAAAAACACTATCTGGAATTTTCAAATCAATAGGTATTTGAAGAATTTACAAAGATACAGTGTTCGTTATTAAAATTTTAATTGGGGTCAATGTAGAGTAGCTATACAGGATACATCGACAGAAAGTAGCAGCTTGAATAGCTTTTTGGAATTACGGAAGTAGGGGAAAAACTTTTGAAATAGAAGTTATTTCGTACGAATGGGGTCAACCTACCCCCTGACTACGCGTGATAGTCCCCTTCAAGCCAAATCACTTTCATATGAAAATTCTTTCTCTTACCCTTTATTGGTCCGTTCTGCGTTATTAAATTTCATAAATTGCTATATTTTCTTGTGTTTCACATACGCATATGTATAATAAATAGATATTAAAGCGAAATAATTATTCGTGCTCGCGGAAAGCATTCTCCATACTGAATCTAGTTGCTGCCTGGGAGAAAATGATGTTTTCAAGAAAATGTGCAACAGAAGTTGAGAAATTTCAATCATGTATTGATTAACAAAGTCACAGTACAGTTCGTATTTTTAGTAGAATAAACGAGACTGAAGAAATACTTTCTTTTTAAAAATAAGAATTCTGAAACCAGAATATCTTAAAATATAAAACATACGACTTAAATAATACTTAACTATCCAAAGCACCTATTTATTTCAATACTTCATACAATACAACTGAAAGATCCACAAGAGTCACAATTGAGACACCATCATCCCTCCAACATCGCTGATCGATAATCAGTTCTACGAGAATCAAAGAGCAATTAAAGATAAAATAAAAGTAACTCCGACCCCCCGAGAAATAAATCTGCTTCGTATCGTAAGATAAAAGGAACGAGCCAACGGTTAACGTCAATTAAAAGAAAGAAGATTTCAATTAAGATTCGAATCTTGAAGAAGATCATCCGACCTGGATAGCTAATTTCACGATTGGAACGATGGAATTTTTACCTCGTCTACGGAAAGAAGACCTTTGATTCCGTCGTGATCGAGAATCGACAACAAAAACCGACACATCGTAACGGAGCCGAAGATTTAGCGCGAGACAGTGAGCTACATACAGTATCCACGAACTATTATTGATTTCTCGACAGTCAGTGGCCATTATTGTCAAACGTAATCCCGCCGTAGGCGTCGAACCACGACAGCTGACGGTGGATTCTTCGGGAGGGGTGGAGGGCTGCGTCTAAATATCGATACGAAATACGATATACGTATAGAGCGGGGCTGTCAGTCAGTCAAGTTTGACCACTGGGTTGATGGGATCATCGCCTGATCGCATGGCTGCCGCTTGAATGATTGAAATTATCTTCATGACTGGCGGACCTGATCATGCTCGCCGGGCCAATGTTGGTCGAATACGCCACAGTGTACACACACGTGGCACCCGTGTCAAATGCATAATTAGTATGTCAAAATAACGCGGCGAACGTCCCTTTAATTATTCATACTGTGTCCGCGATCGACGGGCGAGCGCCCATGGGCCTCTTCGACAAGTTTCAATCGGAATAGGCGAAATCGGATATTTTTTGGAGTAACATTTCGGATTTTTTTTTACAGCTGGATGTGTTGCAGTGTATGTAATTAAATCGTATTTTTAGTGATATACAATAAACGTATATCGAAGGATTTTTGAAAATTTTAAGTATTGCTGATTTTATGGTTGTTTGAAATATGCTTTGTAGGTGCTGACAGTGGAGACATAAGAGTATCTGGGAGAAGATGTTTTCTTCTAACTGAAATCATTTTGATTAGGTACTCTTATGTCTCCACTGTAAGCACCCACAAAATTTATTTTCATAAGTTTGTTAGTTCAACGGATAATTCATTAATCGACCGATCATTTCATATGAACAATTTTAGTCTTTTGTTCAAGAACGGAATTGAAAATACACTTATAATAGTACTTTCTTTATTACAGAACATGTTGTTATGTTTTTACTGGTATATGACAACGATTATAATTTCTCAAGGAATATACATATGTATATCAATATTTCGTCACGCCATCCTTTCCATCTATAATTGTTTGAAATCTTCTCAGCACACATTCAATATTTTTTTTTGACACAATATAATTTAATAATGTCAGAATAACATCAGAATAACTCTCACGTGAACCCATAGCATTAGCAACCATGGAATCGAACGATTGGCCGAGATCACGGAGGAGCTACCATCGAAATTGTCCAATTTCACGTCGATGAAATCGTTTTCTACTGTCGAAAATTCGACGACGCCGCACGTGAACGGCTCGCAGAACGTTAAATAGTTCCTCGCCGGTCCAATCGTCTCTTCCCGGCCGATCGAGTTGCTTTCTGCGCGTCCCAACCACCGTGTCGGGCCGGTCCTGTCGCCGGAAATGGAAACGTTGCGCAAATAATATCCGTTTCATGATCGTCCTCTCTCGATACAAAAGATGTCCGCTAGCAACGAAATCACTTGGACGATCTGGGCTTCTCTGGTTTCGTTGTAAGTCGGAAAATGGATGTCACCGAAACCTGCATGATGATCTTAGATATTAGTATTTTTGGATATATATTATTCCAATAAAATTGTGTCTGACTATGCCAGTAACTATGGTTGAAGGGATTTATTATAGATCAAAGTTTAAGTTGCCAATATTAAAGCCCTTTAATGTTATATTCCCAGAACACAGATCGCTCAGAGACAACCCGGAAACGTTTGTAACACATGTTCAAGTTCCGTTCCTCGTTAATTGCTTACGCATCGATCCCGTCGTCCCCTTCCCGTTACAATCAGCTTGATTGTTCTTCGATTTGCATCGATGATTCCGACGTGCATCGACTGGCCTGCCTTTGATTCAATTGTTCATCTGTGTCCAATACCGGCGGCTTCGAAACTCCGCGGCTCCCGCTACATAGAAAACCTTATCACAACCGTGTGTCGAATTTCACAGATCGAATCGAATTATTATTTCCAAACTGTATACAATACAGGCGTAGTGAATCGTTTTATTACGAAAACACAGCAATTCTTGCTTCCATAAAACTGACTGTAACCGGTTGACGTGTTAGTGACTACAGAGGAATCAGTCGTCACTTCAAACCTTTACACGTGGACTATTCCTGATTCACCTGATCAGAAAATACGTCACGCGAATTCAAAGCGAAGTTGTTCGAAACTTCAGCAGTTTAAATTTTTAATGACCGAAAATTTGATAGCCCTGGGCCACAAAAAATCTTAATCCGGGCCTAGCTTACGCGAGACACCCTATACAGTGATTCCTCGATGAATGCAACACGAACAACGGCGTTATTCCCACTACTGGGGGGCTTCCTTAGAAAATCAAACGAAACAGAGTAAACAGAAGCTAAGCAGAGGCTCGACTTCCGATAAAAAACAATTTTATGAGAGGCTAAACACCTTTCCATGAATGCTCCGAAGCGGACCCAAGTACGTCGCACTCATCGACACATTACTGTAGTATCTAAAACCAGAAGCGACAACGCTTCGTGGCGTACACCCAGAAAACAATAAACAGTTTCTGTCGCCACTTAGAAGCGGGCTTCGAGGCGATCTTTGATTAGCCATCGGAATAACACGTCACGTTCTTCTGTTGTTGTCGCCAGGCGGGATATTCCATGCGGGGGACGAAGAGCACAAGGCTGCGTTTCTAAAGGCTGTGTACGAGGCAAGATTCGAGCACGTTGCGCCCGCATTCGAACTGCAGCCGATCATAAAAGACGTGGAGGTTAATACCGACAGCTTCAAGACCGCCGCCGCGGGTTCGTATGAATATTTAAAAATGCAGCTGTTTAAGTTGTTTAACGGTCCCGGAGAACGGTGCGAAAAGACCATCGCGTGACGGGATTAAAACAACTAATGAACCAATTAACGGCCGTATAGAACCGGTAAGCTGGTCGACCGAGGAAACTTCGACGTCGTGTCTTGATTAATTGTACGGGTAGGAAGCACGCCGGGTGTCAATTACCAGGAGGGGGGGGGGCAGAGGAGGAACAGTATCGATGGAAAATAACTATCCCGTTCGTTTCGTTTCCTCACGGCTTCCTCGTCGAGAGACTCGCTGTCCCCTGACTTCGGACTCGTCGCGATATCGCAATAAATTTCGCGTTGAGCCCTCTCGCTGGAGAACGGACGCGATAATAAAGCGTCGAAGAGCTATGGGTAGGTTCGATCTCGCCTTTTCCTTCCCGATGGAATTTCATATTTAAAAAGCTCCCGCCCCTTTATCGTCTCCATTAGACCAATAATAAGATCGTGTTTTGCTGCTCCCGATTGAAAACGGACGCTTCGTCCGTTGCCTTTGCAACCGATAAGCCGATCGCAGAAGACACTCGAATTTTAATATTATTTAACCCCGAATTCTGATGGATCGGATTTAGCAACTGACCAGGATAAATAATCTAGAAGAATGATTTTTCTTGGACGGTTCGTGCTGAATGGTTCTGAGGTGATATTAGTACAGCTATTTTGAGGGGGATATTGATGACTTTGGTACCGATTATTCTAAATAGATCCTGCCTGGTGAAATACACTGTTTATGGTAATTGTATTGGGTTAGTGGAGAATTAAAGTCGTTGCTGGATGTGATTTTACCCTGGAATAATTTTAAAGTTGGCGTGGATGATTTTAAACTTCCTTTAGAGACCACTTTAAATTCTTTTACGATATCCAAATACGTTTACCATAGACGTTTAACACTACTGTTGTTTAAATCCCTTTTCTTCTTTCAAAATAGCAGCGAACATTGTAGAACGCGGCAAAAAATAACCGAAACAACATAATCCTTTCAAATTCCAAGGAAATAAGCATTGACTTCGACAAAATATAAACGATTTATTTGGTACACCTAATAATACTGAACAAAAATTCGAAAATAAGTATTTAAAAAATTTGCTCATGAGTTAAAAAATATTATTAATCGATTATTAACAAAAAATTATGTATTCCCACCCAGAGCCAGGTTACTCATAGCCTGATACTTCCTCGGAAAGGAACTATTTCGAATAATCGAAGATATCGGCATCTCGTTAATACGTTAGACGAAACCACGCTTCTGATTTCGCCAACGGAAACTTTCGGTACCTACGTAAACATGTGTACCGATAGCAATCCCGATTTTCGCGTAGCTTGCTCGGTATACTCGTAACCGCTTACGTGGCCGCCCTCTCTTCGCCGAGTCGAATCTCGACGGGCGCCTCGTTTGCGCCCGTTTAATGTAACTTGCCGAGCCGGCAACGGGAAAGGGACACACGCCTTTAACGTTGCAGCCTGCGAGCTCCTCGAGGAAGGTGTGGCCGCAATCTTCGGCCCCTCGAGCTCTTACACACGGGGGATTGTGGCGAGCACCGCGGCACGTTTCGACGTTCCGCACATCGATTATTTCTGGCGACAGAACGAGGAACTGCAGGCGGAAGGGGAGCCAAACAATCCAACGCCGATGACCATTAACGTGTATCCCGATAGCGATATGGTCGGCAAGGTAAGCTGGAACTTGCAGTAATAGCCGTGGATAAATTGACTCTTACAATTAAATGTTGGATCGAACGTCTCGTAAGTTGGTTAGAACCCTAACCCTGTAGCACCGCTTAGGGCTGTTTTGGAGAAATTAGGACCGACTATTTTGGTGAGTGGTGTTTCGATGAAGTAATGGGAGACTCATTTATTTCGTCGGATCTACGCTTGTATGAAACAAATGAATATATAAAAGAACATTTTTTGAAAGTTTGTTGAGGAACAGACGATACTGCGAGTTAAAAATTTTGACGAATAAGATGGTTTTTGAATATTGTGTGCTACACGATGATGACTGACGCGATCTTCGGTAGCAGTATGGGCGGCAAGGTAAGCTGGACAAAAAACTAGTCAGTTTGATAATTAACGTATATTACTTTTTAAAGAAACAAAAACCAGATAATTAAATTGAAGTGGATGTGACCCCATGCTCCAACTTAAGGGTTAGATCCTTATTAGAGGACAGACGATACAGCAAGTGAAGAATTTTGGTAAAATAAGACGGGTTTGGATATTATAAGAATAAACAAATTAAGATTTTTATAGAACCATTTATGATATCTAGAATCAAGAGAAATTTGACGAGAAAGTTTTATTAAGCACCGCAAAAATTCGGATACATTCACAGTATGCCACACGTGCATAAAATGTAGTTTATTTATGAGAGCCTGGGGAATGCAAAATAATTTATTAATACCTATAAACAGGGAAAACATTGCCACTCGATAAATCGTGCTGTTACGAGAGGATTGCTGATCGTCTGAAAATTCGAATATATGCATATTAGATGAGGACTACATTATCAGTCGCATAAATTAATTCATGTTTAATAAATTGGTGTAATAATTTTCAAAATATCACCAGCGGTGCTGGCAACACAATTCATAGGAAAGCATTATACCCACGCGATTTCACAGACCATACAAAAACATAAGGTTTCAGTTTTAATAAATATAGACCAAATAACACTTGATTCCCTTAAGTAGCAAAAACAATGTTTCAACCCTTCACACAGAAATCCAGGAGAATTTTGTCCACTATAAGTATATTGAAATAACATTTCTACCTTGCTTTTGTAAATGAGATCACTGCCCCCTCCCTTCGCATAATTCAATGTCTTCTTCCCCTTAATACTCACTCCTTCGTCTATAATAATGAACCATTATCTATTTATTTAATATGAATTACCTTATAAAGTATGTATTTTTTTAGAACCAATCGTCTTGTAACGACCATTCGCTTATCATTCTAAATCACTGATAATTTCTCATAGCACTTTATTAACCAAATATAATTATTTCACGGGGCGACTGTATTAATGCCACCTTGCACGGTTAATTTCAGCTGGATTACGCGTCGCGGAGAACTTCGCGTGGGGCGAACTCCGCGTCCGACACTTTGTGCGTAATATTTCAAAGCTCGTCGAAATGTGACGAACGCAGACGAGCACTCGCGTCGCGCCGCGTAGCGTTCCTCCGATGCATTTTAAATTACACGTCAAACGAGGCAAATCGAGCGAGTTTGGAGTACCTCGCGCATTAAACCAGTAAGCTGAAGCTAATGAGCACGATCAAAGGCCGAACTTGAGCTAACAGCTTCGGAACAGCTTTTTGTGTTGTCCGCTTTTAGGTTGCGGGGGCGAGAAGAAGATTAAAGAAACACCGAACGCGTTAGAGTTTAAATAAATTAAACCATCGTCGATTGGACCTAATTAAAGTGATCTAAAAAGACCGTAAATCAGAAGAATTTTCACGAAATTTCGTTTCATTTCGCGATGGAAACAACGCCTCGATTTTCGTACATTTCTTATCAGTGGAAAAACTCTTTATTATTTCGATTGAAATTCACTAAAATCCGCGAAATGTTTTCCGTGATTTAAATACAGCATCGGTTATGCGTTTATTTCGCTTGAGAATTCTTGTTCGAACATTTTCGATTCATATAATGTCGGGGATTTATAAGAAAATTCTTTCATGGAGCAACATAAAAGTATCTCGGTGCTCTTCGATGCCCTTTTTCTCCAGTCTCTATGTCTCGTGCTTCTTCGAATCCTATCTCAGAATTTTCTTTTTTCGCCGCAGTTGAACGAAGTAACACGTGACTTACGCCTGGATGTCTCTGCTTCCTCGGAATAGCTTGTTGGGAATAAATTCTGTCTCGAGTTATTCATTTTCTCCCGTACATCCGAATTTTAATTAATATCTGTAATGTCTACAACATCGCAGTATTTAGTATACTTGGTTGTAAATGTAACGAGGAACGGAGAACGTTCATTCCCGTGGAATCAGCAAGTTATTTCACATGCATACTTATATTCGGTTTATTTGTTAATTACTCGACAATGTTCCAGTTTCCAAATTTCAGACAGCGAACGTAATGGCTCTCGCTGGTGTTGTTTACACGTGTAACAACATTAATGAATGTGGCATTCAAACGTCCATAGTTGGGAACGCGTACAAGAAACTAATTAACGTCGACATTTTCCATGCGACATTTGGTGTACTACAGACAAAGGAAATAGTTTAATTAAATTCAGAGATAAGTATTTAGTTAAAAATGTAGCAGAAATTATGTAATTCATCCATGTCTCTCGCTTTTATGTAACTTTGAATAGAAGTAAAAAAGGTTAATTTCAAAAGAAAGTACTGTTTTCTGTATAGTTTTAAACGTCTCACTGACAAATTATCCAAATTTTGTTAACTTACACAGTCGAATCATCGTATGCGTACCCTGTCAGCGTCAAAACCTGAAATTTCGTGGATTTAAATGCATTTTGATTACACATTTCAAATAGGATTTCGAGGCAGGAACTAGAATACAATTAGCCAAACTGTTCAGCAGATGTACGCATCGGAATCTACATTCTCGAATAGTTGAATAGTTCCGGAATACCGATGTGCCAAGATGCTTCTCAGAGACCTAAAGTTACAGAATCCTGCATGACATTCAATGTACTTATAACCATAACTCACCTCGTAAAGTAGAATAACGGAATACACAAAATACACTCAATTCGTGTAAAAACAGAATCGGGTGTAATTTTATATCACAGGGTTGTTATAAATATAATATTACGAACTGGTGCTCGACCCATTTGTTGTTTAAAGTGATCCAGGTGTGTTACGTCTATTTCTGATTCCCAAGCAGAGACACGTGTACCGAATGTCGAAATCGAGACTTATTATCGAGGAAAATGGAATTTCTGCCCAGATGCTCGCAAACGTGGTGGATTCCATGAAATGGAGCTCCTTCGCGGCGATCTACCAAACCAACGACGGTCTCTCGCGAATCAAGCAGGCTCTGACGCTCAGACGGAACAAGGACAGTCTGATCACGATAAGAAGGCTCGGCGAGGGCTCGGATTATCGATCGATCCTGAAGGAAATTCGGGCTCTATCCATCTGCAACCTGATCGTCGACGTTGAGCCGAACAACATCATCGAGGTGCTCTATCAAGCGAAAGAGGTCAAACTGCTGGCGGACTACTGTAATTTCTTAATTACTTACCTGGTATTACGTTCTCTCTTATTTACGCACAGTCCTTTTGCAACTTAACCACTAAAACAATACTTTTCAAACGAAACAGTAATAATAATCTCAATACGTTCGGTGTCCTCCTGAATCGTTAAAATTTTGACGTGCAATTTTAACGTTTTCTTTGCAGTTTTAGCTACCTTATCTTGTATGTTACCTCGGTATTGCATGAGGAAATTATTTATTTGCAATGCATGAAACGGATCTCTGGAAACCCACCTGGCGAATACGTAGAATGTGATAATCAAGCCGTTCAATTGCCATGTTAAATAATTAAATGAAGGTACGCTACAATCTTAAGGGGGCAGTAATTCGGACATCTACCCTATCATATATTATCTAATGGTTTTGTTATTGTAACCATTAACAACTAATTTAACTCTAACTCCTTCTGAATTAGTTGACCAAGTTAATAATAAAATACTAAAACATCTTGGTCCACGAAGAATTATATAGTAAAACAGGTGCGTCCGCAATTTTGTATGCCACAGGTTTGTTACCGAGGCGCGACTCGAAACACATTTTCCACATTTCGCGGATCCGGTTCTCCACGACCGAGGGGCTTATTTCGGAAAATTTACCCGCCTCCGTTTAATGTGTATCCCGTGTATTATAGAAAGCAACAAAGTTCAAGGAACGCTCGGTTATTTATGAGAGATCGGAGCTGAAGCGTTTTACGGGCTTACCTTTACATCGCGCGAATGTGGATTTCACCGAAGGTGTATTCATTTTTCCGCGTAATTTTACGGGAGCTGTAACGTCGGAATATTTATCGTTCCGCGGAACGTGAACTGACATCTTATCAAGGGCGTTCAGTTACGTTTTTATTCGACACAGCATCGAATTTCTCACGAGTTCCTCAAAATGTACAGTTCCACTCCACTGTAAGCACTCAGAGAGCTCATTTTGATCAGTTTATTAGTTCAACATTTATGATTTTTTTAAAAAACGTTGACATTATAATTCAAACAGCTGTAAAATCGACAATTTTTAAAATTTTCAAAAATCCTTCGAGATACGTTTATATATCACGAAAGACTACAACATATCAAAGTGGCCAACAAAATTTGCAATGTTACTCCAAAAAGTGTCCAATTTCACGTGGAATAGCCCAATATTAAACTTTGGTCCTCCTAGACCGATTATTCAATAAACTTCTTATCCGAACGAGTTTGTCTACCTATAAAAAAATGAAACACATCTAAACAATAAAAAAATTGGATAATCTAACATATATCTGAAACGGTTTTATCAACAGGCTCTCATTAATAAGTCCGTGGTCTGGCTCGTCACGGTGAGGTAACTGCATTAGCCGTTAGAATTGCCAGGCTTTTTACTAAACGATCCCATAAATTGCGGCAAGGTAATTGTTTTCAACGATACGCCCGGTAACGTCCCTCCAGTCCGAACGCGCTTCTTCGTCGACCACCCGCCTCTCGGAATCCGCTTTTTATGACGCATTACCGGCGAAACACGTAACAATGCCTCCATAAATAACGACGTTCGCGGTGCGTCGAAGGTGTTCGCGCGAGGTGTATCTCATTTCTTTCGAAAGAGATAAAAATAAAGAAACGAAACAATAGGTACATATACTCTCGTGACATTGTGGCGTCCCCTTTATCGTGCCTTGTACGCCGGGACGGTATTAATTAGAGCGAAAATTACGATGGGTTTGTTGAAGAACTGTTGCAAAGTATAATATCAGTAATTTTAATAACATTGATGTACCATATTTCTACATAATTTAATGGAGGAACATTTTAACGTACGTAAACAGTAAAAACGGAAGTGACGGAAATGATTGGTACCTACGTATAAATAATAGAAATCCTCATATGGATATTACTTTATTCTCCAATCAAGTGTATAGAATTTCAATTAATAGTAACTCGATAAATATTTTGGAATTCTCTAAAAGTCGCATACATGTTTTAACTGATACGTTGTAACGTGACAGGATACGTCGTTCATATTTTAATCTGTTATAATGACTGTCAATTAATCTTGAAATTCTGCCGCTCGACATCCGTGATTCTGTTTCGCAGTTCATATTTTACATACTCGTACGCAAATAAATATATATATATATACATATAATAGCATACTGAAATATGTACATTTAAAACTAGTACAATCAGTTACCTCATAAAATTATGAATTCGTCGAACTGTCTCCATGCCTACACCACGACACACTCTTTAACCCTTTCGCCCCCAATGTTCCTACGTGTACAAGTACGCTTTACGTATTCTAAATTACGAAATAAAATATTAGTATTATGTATTTTCTCACAGCTATGAACATATAAGTCTCTTCTAATCTTGTATAGATGGTATGGCACAAATTTCATTGTGCATTTAAAAGCTAATCTAATGTAAAATAAAATATTGAAATGTTCCTGTGAATCACTTATATGTCATGTAATATGTACAAAAATACAACAAAATATTTCGTTGGTAACTTTTAAATAATTTAGGAATGAAAGGGTTAAGGGTTTCGTTCCTCTCCCTTCTACGTACTGGAGAACACCTATCATTTGTCGGTTGTCGCGACATTTTCGAAATCTTTTTTCCTCGCTCTGTCACGTTGCGAACGGCCAGAGCAAAAGAAAAAAGAGCCCTTTGATCGCGGCGGCAGTTCGGTGGAGGTTGTTTGAACGTGACCTCTGCCTGCTCGCAAATAACGAAATTTCTCTGTGTACACGCCGCGACGTGAATAGGGCGGAGGGGAGGTGGCGTACCTGAAGAATTCGTGAGAAATTTCACGATGCATCTATATTTGTCCGGGTTGTCGTGAAATTCGTGGAAGACGCTTCGTCGAGCCCTGGCATTCGGTTTTCGAGCCAAGGTGAGACACGAGGCGGACCCACGTCAACGTCAAATGCTCGTGGCGACCCGATGCCACGATTCCGATAACCCTGGAGTCATTCTCCCCTCGAGGATCGACCCTTACTCCCGGGAAATACGTATTAATTATGTTCTACACGCTGAAAGCAGAGCAAGACATTCCATTCGTTCACTTTCACGGTAACTAGATACTGTAGTCGCTTGTTAAAAATGGCTAGAAGGGGCCTGATTCGCGCTCTTAACCCCTCAACGCTGCCAGACGTAAGGGAAACTGACCCCGCTTTTTTTTCACATGTCGTCGATGCAAGTTACCTATCCACGGTCATATGTGACTAATAATACAATCCTTGGGCGCCCATAATATATTCCCAAGCAATACAATTCTTTTATGAGCGCTCCACGATTTTATTTTCAGTCACATATGACCAAGACTGTTGCGATAACTATAAAAATTATTTTTTATTCCTTAGTGTATTTTCTATATTTAATTGAATATTGTTACGTATGCATATTTTATTTCGCATTTCTATAAGCGTTAACATCATGCAAACACATTAATAAAATATGATATAAAAATGTAAAACTATAGCAATTATAATTTTCATCTGTTAGAAAGATTCCTCCAGCGTATTCTAACCAGCACAACAAGAATATAGTTTCTCGTTACGCGACCGCCAGCACTGCAGTGCCACTGCTCGCAAATACAACCCGGCACGACAACTTACTTTTAGTTCCGTGGCCGCCGGCGTTGAGGGGTTAACGAGGGAAGGCCGCGATTTCGTTGTCTAGATAATGCTCGGAACCGAAATTGACGAGATTCGTGGTAGATGATGCGAGCATATACTATCCTAGTGACATTGCCGCTAACAAGTATTAGGACACGTGGTCTATATGAAGACATTTTGTGATTTTTAACAAAAATCGTATATTTTAATAATTCTGGAATCAATCAAAACAGAATAAACAGAATCTAAGCGGAGGCTCAGCTTCGTGCAAAAAAGAAAACAAATTTATGAGGGGCTGAAATTGTTTCCGTTTTGCCATGAATGCTCCGAAGTGGACCCGGGTGTCGCACTCATCGAGACATTACTATACTTCGTGGCGTAACAAACGAAAGAAAAACGTTCGGTCGAAAGAAAACCAAGGAAAGTTCCACGATACGTCCCACGTCATCCATTTGCAAATTTGTTTCTTATCGTTGCCCTTCTCTCTGTTCGTCGGTGTAGCGCGCGAGTTTCGAAGTTATTTTCCTAGTTGTTGCGACGAGACAACAGGAAACGACGAGGGGGGATCCCCGCGTTTCAAACGCCCGTCCGCCCTTTTTTCGCATTCTGGTGTGCGTACGTCCCGTCGAATAAGGTCGACTCCGTCGGACGAATATCAAGTGACGGATCGGTTTTTCACGGATCACGGATGCATTGAGGAGAACGAACGGAACGATCCCAAATAGACGTACAGGATGTTAATAAAAACGTGGTGACATGTTCGCAGGATGAATTCTACATCGAAGAAAATTAACACATTCGTAACCGGTAATATAGTCCTACGTCATTTGTAAATCTGTGAAGATGATCATTATCTTCATTTGAAATTTTTGTTAGGATAGATATTCTTTTGTATGTAATAACTAGCTAAAGCTGTTCAACGTTTTAAAAACGTGAATTTCAATGCGTTGTACTTTTAAATAGCAGACCCCTACGGTATTCAGCTATAGACTTTTGAAAATTGTACGTGGTATTCAACTAAGGGTTTCACCTAAAAACCGCCGGCTGCGAATGTATTAAGATTGTTAAGAATGATGAAATTATGGCCGAAGCTTCATTTCCGTGTGTAGTAACCCTTCGCGCTCGTATTTAGCTCCGGTATGGGTGCTGAACTGGTTGAAATTAATTTTCATTGAACCGAACACTAATGATGTAATGCAAGATTGTAAGTATAAAATTTATTTTTATTCGAACGGTATTGTTGCGTTGTTTCATTGTTCAGATTGCAATTTGGTTTTGTTGCTTTGATGACCGAGAGTATACATACTGCCACAAGGAATGCATCGTTGTAAATACAGGCAAAATAGTTGATGAATTATACTACCCGAACAGCCTATACCCAGTTGATAGACAGGCTTAATCGATGACCTACTGAAACTAACGAATGAACTGACAAGAATGAAAAGAACTCTTGAAACAGTCCATGAGCGCGCATCTTAAGTAGAATAAGCCGTCGCGTCAGACGTATTTTACGCGTACTTCGTCCTTATTTTGAACAATTAATACACTTGAAAACGTAGTCTCGAACTCAATCTCGTCATTCTTGATTTTCGTCTTGATCTAATTTCAAGAATCTACCCTATGAAAGTGTCCCACGTTTTTATTAACGCCCTGTATAAAGTGATCAAGCAACCTTGGCACGGTAGCCAGACGGTGTCCGAGCACGGCTGGCAATCGACACTTTTTAAAATAATAATTTTCCCGGAAAATAATACTTGTGTCCGCAGGACTCTACCAAGCTGCCTGTGTCGGACGTGCGGAATGGGACCATGGCTAACATTACCGGGCTCAGCGTCAGGGAGAACGATGTGGACGGGATTAATTGGGTAATCTAGACTATCTTCTGACTCGATGAATTTGTTTACCCTGTATAAGTTTGAAAGAATCCAGGAATGAAATGTTCGTTGAATGAAAAGAAAACCGAGAAAGTGGGTGCATAAGATTAAACAGACTTGGTGTCGCATGGTGACGAAAGATCACATTGGGTCATTCAGCTATCAGTGACGTAGATTTATTTATGTAAAACAGATGAAAAGAAGTCATGGATGACAAGCAGCCGAGGTTACGTTGCCTTTAGAATAGGGACTACGAATTTTCTATACGATGAAGGTGTAACTTGTCGATATTGTTTTATTTATTATTCTACTAAAAGAGATACGTTAACGAGGGAGTCAGTGTTCCAACTGGAATTTTTGATACACTTTGAATTCAATTGTTTTAATAGCTCATGATGCCTTTGGAAATTTTAAATAAAACTCAATATTGAGTTGCACAGAGTGTCGTTGAAGTTTAGAGGAATGGAAGTTACTTCACGGAAAATACATTGAGCAGGAAACGTGTTCGGAGAAATTTTCAAAAAATTCAAATTTTTATAATACTATTACAAACACGCTTACGTAATATAAAGTATTTGCATAATACACCAGGAATGTGCTTACACCGCTATCATAATATCAAGGTGGCTTTAAGTTTTTCCAAGGTCAATGAATCTTTTTTTAATGCCATCATACTATAAGTCGCTGTATTCGTCCTTCCATCGACAATAAAGTGGTATTAAAACAAAGCTACATTGTCTTTAAAAACACTCAAGGTCACCTTGATATCTAAAAAAAATAAAGTAATAAAATATCAAATTGTATCCATCCGATGGGTCCCTGAAAATGCTACATAATTCATTAAAACGTTTTCTAAAACAACCAATAGATAACTAGTTATTTTAGACAGTAGTCATTACTGACTCACCCTATACATCTATAAGATGCACTGTGTCAAACTACTGGTATCAAATTAATTTGCAAATTTCTCTGATAAAGAATACAATTAAAAATTAAAATCTGTGTTCAAGACAATTCGGTCCGAACGATGCACAACAGTAAGCGATTCCACCTCGAGAAAAACACCCTCGACTGACACTCGACGTATTACCCCCGCCTGAATCTTCCTCGACCGATTTCCCGCTGTATCGCGCGGGTGTTCGCCTTGCCTTTCCGCGTCGGTGTGTTTTAATCATGAATTCTTTTCGCCGTATGCATAATAAAGTCGTTTACGGCCGTCAGTCGCGGAAGAATAGTCTGAATGCGCGCCGGTTCAGCCGTTCGGAGTAATTTCTTCATTAACCTCGCGGCATAATGGAGCACCACGGCGCACAGTTTCGAGGATGCAACACGAGATAGAGCCCACACCCCTCCCTGTCCCGGGAAATCCACCCCGCGACACAGTACTTACGAGCAGCTGACGGGCTGCCTTAATTTTCGTTTCATTAGCCCCCGCCGATTCCCTTTGTATCGCGGACACACTCACCGAATGAAAAGGGCCACGGCCTCCTCCCTTGAAACCGTCCGCCGTTGTTTCTCCTGTATGCAAATGCAACTCCCCCGTGGTGGAAACGATTAAGCCTGTTGTTTTATTATTTTCCAAGATTGGACCGGCTTAATGTTTCATTGCTTAGCGCAACGTTTTTCTGTTATGGGGCAAAACGGTCGCTTTTCGGGAATAAGGGCTCGTTTGGGGGTTGTGGAGGGAAACGCTTGGGCACCCGGTTACCGTGACAGGTTTACAGATTTATTTACTGGATCTGATTGAGGATCTCTTTTGAGATAATCATTTTTTTTTTTTGTAATTTGAGTATTTATTCAGTGGAACTGTAGAATTCTTTGCTGACATAATAATTTTGTATAGTCTGGAGATTTATTTACTGGAACTCTAAAACTCTCTCTCTCTCTCGGCATAGTATTGATTTTACAATTTTGATAATGAGATTAATAGTATTATGTCATTTCGTGAATGCAAATTTAATGTGTTTTTATTAAGGACGACTCTTCTTTTTGGAGTAAAAAGGTGTAGAATACGTAACACAACCGCTCATAAGAATTAGGACACCTAGTCCGTATGTAACAAATATGATGTTTCGTGAAAATTCTATATTTTAGGACACGTTTATTATTTCACAGTAGCATAAGCGTTGTCAATTGAGCATTAGTGTCCCCTAAAAAATATTTAATGAATATTCGATAAGTGTACCGGTAGATACCTACTTATGAGCTGGAGTATATCAAATGTGCATGTGTCTGGTCTACAATAAGTAGAAACTATCTGTAATGAACAGACACGCCAACCAAACCACTTTCACTAGCATACAACGTTTCCCCGGGAACAAAGTATAATATGAAAAAACTTGAACCTAAATTTTCAAGCCACTATCATGCAAAGGATCGTCTTATTTTTAATTGTACTTCAATTTTGAATTCAAACGATAATGAAAGACGATTTAATTGAATACAACGTTTTTCCGATAGCCTTTCTTTTTACTTGTTTGTAAAAATTTGATTTACATGTTATCAACCTTCTAAAAAGTTTATCGTTGAAAAGGAGTAAAGACGGAAGTCTTTATATCAGATTTAATGATCTCTAAATTTTCTTTCATAAAGGTGGAATCAGCTGTCCTCTACGATTCGGTGTTCCTGTTGTACAACGCGCTAGAGGCGTTAAACGCAAGGAACAAGGACAGTGAGGAGCCTGTAACTATTGACCCGGTACCGCTCTCTTGTGAAGATACAGAGAAATACAGCGCAGGTCCCAACATTACCAACCTTATACGCGAGGTAAAACCTCATTGACTTTTCCCCGGGTTTCGGAAGCGCGAACTTAACGACTCCGTGTGCTATACGATGACGAAAGTTACCGACTACGTGCGATTCAAAGAACAAAAAAAAAGTGACTCGATACAATAGCATAGATAATGCTTTGTTAAATCATTAACGCTTCTGGTAGATACTAGTACAAAATGATTCTAGTATCACAAAATTCGCTGGTGTTTTAATCAAATTGAAATTATTAAATCCAATTTAATAATCATTTGTTCTTTTGTAACTACTTGTTTTTTTTTTTGTAAATGATGAGTTTGAAGTACCGTTTCGATAACTTTTCTAACTTCATGAATATTTCATAGCTATGAAATTCATAGCTATAGACTTAAGATATTGTTGAGAATATATAACGTGATCTAGTTCCATTGTTAATCCTTTGTATCGCAAATATTTTGTTTCTGAAGAAAAAATTGTAGTTTACCGTAAAAAGTAACAATTTCCGTAGTTGTCCAAGCAAGGTAAAATGACTGGGCCGATCACGATCGACGAGAATGGTCGCCGTCAGTACTTTAACGTACGCATAATTTTTTTTTAGAGCGTACAAATCGGATATTGGGATCCAGATGGACTTCATCCGATAGGCAGCGAACAGGAACGCGAAAGCTACTTGTACAAATCCATCGAGCAAAAGAAGTTCAAGATTACCACCAAAGTGGTATGCACCTTCTAAACTATTTCTAACTAAACTTTTTAAAATTCTTATAGATCAAGAATACGTTAACACATTACAATCAGGCTGGATTATTTAAATACACTTTCAAAATTTTTGGGTAGAACTAATATCTCGGTAGAACTTAAGACAAAACCAACAGACTGTATTAATTAAACGCATATATTTTCGACGATTTATAACTTAAAAAACGAAATAAAATGTGTCTGGCTAGGTACGGTCTTTTTCACTGTGGCAGTCAACGTGTTAAAATGATCCAATTAATAGACGTGGTAAATACTTTAAAATCTATAACATAAGCAATATTAATATTAATAATTTCTTACAACTGAATTGAAGAAATACCGTTATACCCTCAGAAGAATAATGATTAACAAATAGTTTAATATAGGTAGTAGGAAATGTTATTGCAATCCAATTACATTATCAAACTTTTCTGACTAGATGCCTATTTCACAATTGCTTTCCACATTTTAATGAAATTTTTGAAACAATTCCTCTGTTTTTTAAGTGAACTTAACATTCTCCAGTACTTACTTTTGACTGTTATAAAATATCGGAAACTACCAAAACTTTGAAGGAGAACAAACAAGAATAAAATAATTGTACCACTTCTGTCAGGGCCCGCCGTACATAATGGAAGTCACGGACAGCCCGAGTCGGGGCATCCTGATCGAGCAAACCCGGTACGAGGGTTTCTGCATCGATCTGATCGAGGAGATTGCCAAGCTGTTGAATTTTAAATACGAGTTTGAATTAGTGCCGGACGGGTCCTACGGTACATACAATAAGGACACAAAACAGTGGAACGGTCTTATCAGACGTCTGCTGGATCGCGTACGTAACAGTTTCGAGGCAAACGAAATTTAATTAAACCAGCTAATTAACGCGACAAACCATGGAAACATTACCTAAGCGAATACACGAGAATTTAATTAACTTTCAGTTGCTCCGTTCCGTTCGGGCATCTAATTGCATGTTTATTTTTAATATCCCATTACACATTCTGCTTTGCCCGATAAGCTAATCAGACATTCGTTTATGGTTTATTATTAACGATGAACTTATACTATTCTCACCTGCCTATGACGATGGTCTCTGATAAAAAAAATCGTCACATACGTGACGATATACATCATGAAACTTTAATTAATTATACCTTCAAAACTGTCAAGTAACTACCACTAATATTTCACACGTTTCATTAGAAATATGTATTCTATCATTCTACAAAAAATCGATAAAATCGAAGTGGTACAGTTGGAGTCCTTTCCTGGTAAACAAAATCAGTGAATACTGAAATTGAGGCAATCGAAGATATTTACGCAATAATATACAAATCTCTTTTTCAGGACGCCGATCTCGCGATTTGCGATCTAACGATCACTTACGAGCGTGAGAGCGCGGTCGACTTCACGATGCCGTTCATGAATCTAGGTACCGTGCACTATCCATTCGTTATTACGTCCCGATATTTCCGGCGTGTTTGCCCCCCCCCCCTTTCCCTAGACGTAAACTCTCTCACCCGATGTGTCCGAGCCAGGTATCAGCATTTTATTCAGGAAGCCCGAGGCGAAGGAGCCCGATCTTTTCTCGTTCCTGTCGCCGCTGTCGACCGACGTCTGGATTTACATGGCGACTGCTTTCTTAGCAGTTTCGATAATGCTTTTCGTGCAAGCTAGGTAAGCCGGCACGACAAATAATAAGTAAACTTAACATTCTGTCCGAATGAAGCCCGCCATTCGCGGCTAGGGACGGGCAACGGTTGGAATTAATCCGATCAGCGAAGAGGCCCTGAAACGAAAAAAAAAAAAGAAATAAAAAATAGATCAATACAAAGTAGCAAGATATTAAATTAGCAAAATTAAATGTAAACATATTGGATAATAATACAAAAATAGGAACATACAAATACAAGTAACTTTAATAGGGTAAACTTTAACTTTTAAATTTGATATTAGGTAGCAATCTGCTTAAGCTAGAGCTACAATTAAAAGAGAACTAAATGAAAAGAAAAAAGAAAAATGTCCGGATGAAGCTTTCCTTCTCCGGGGTCGGTTCCAAACACTTGATCCCAGCGAGTCAAGAAGTTACGGTGACGTTCTCGTATAATACCAAGACAACTTTTAACATCCCACAGTGATCGTAAGAAAATGAACGATATCGTGGTATTTTCGTTGTGAATCGATACACCAAACAACCAGAATCAAATTGACGCAGTCGATTATCCGTTTTAGGTTGTCCAAACCTGTTCCTCCGATCGACTTTCCGCGATGTAATATCGTGAACTTTCGCGATAAATTTCCTGGCAATTTCAACATAGATCAGGTATCCCGCGATATAAGCCCCTGAGAATGAACGTGACGTAGATAAGCTGGAAAAGTTGAAGAATTGAATTACCTTCGTGTTCCCGGAACGAACATCCTTGTATTGAATACTATACTTTCAAGGGTTCAGTTGTTTGAGTCAGGTAAAATTCACGTATGCACCGTGCAAATTCTTGAAAGCTTGTGCGCATTAAACGAGTTTATATATAAACAAGAAATAGAATATATTAACAAAACCTCTAAGTAGCTTGTTCTATAGAATATTAACGGACAAAATAAACTTTGCAACTTCCGTTGTTTCTCAACAGGAAACATTTTATTGTACTTACTTGCATTTTGTTGAAAATACGTAAAACATACATCTTGTAAAAATAACGTAAAATATACATCTTATAAAAAATACGTAAAATATACATCTTGTAAAAAAGAAATATTGCTGCAGAGCTGAAATTCAATTGGAAGTAATGAATTTGATTACAAAGCCTTTCCACTGTCGACGTATCCAAGTCTTTCGTAGCATCGACTGTTTACAGGAATAGATTTGTAGTGAACGCACCCCGCCTATTACATTATTCAAGGGGACTTCGAATGTTTACTTTCAGAATGGCTCCAGGCGAATGGGACAATCCGCACCCGTGCAATCCGGATCCGGAGGAATTGGAAAACAATTTCAGCTTGAACAACTCGATGTGGCTCACCGTCGGTTCCGTCATGCAACAGGGTTCCGATATACTTCCCAAGTAAGTTTCGCCAGCGTATCCAACAGCGCGCCTATGTTGCCGCAACTCACCTTACGCGCACGCAAAGACCCGTGATAATAGCGGAACGGAAACCATAGCGCAACTATGAACTCTGCCGGTCGAATCTCAACCCTCGAACGGCGTGTTTGGGTTAGGTTTAAATCGCCTTAGATGAATTTCCGGTCTGTTTAAGCGTGTTAATTCATGATTAACTACTTTTCCTTACGAATCGTTCCTATCGAAGTCGTCAAGTACTAGATTTTAGTCTTAAGAATATAACCACAAAATTTAACCCAAATTAGTTCAGTAGTCATTTAAATAATTCTGATACCGATTTTGAATATTGCATTTCGAGTAAAACGTTTTTAAATGCCAGCCGTTTTCTTTTATTGATAGATATAATAGCTCAATTTCTCGGATATTCCTACGGAAATAACATATAATAAGATATGTATGTTAAATGTTTACTAAACAATAACTACATACACAAAAAAATGTTGCGATTTTCCCTCTTATTTACCAGCTGAGAGGTATATAACCCCTTAACAAAATTCCCGAGTGAAAGAACCCATAATACTTCGAACCGCAAAGGGTTAAAACGCCCGTTCTTTGTTCGCCGTGCGCCGTCGGCATTCCCGTTCTCATTATTCCACTTAAGGGAATGAAATATCGCGGGATCGTTTGTAGAAAAGCCTACAGAGACACGGTGCCAAAAGCAGAGGCGGCGTTTTTCTTTTTCTTTTTTATTTATTCCAACTCCGGATGCCGTGTCCTCCCCCGCCCCTTCCCCTCCTCTCGAGCTATCCTCTATTTTTTCTTCACGACAATTAAGCTTAACGAGCCGCTGTTTGCCGGACATATTTGAGGCGGCTTCCCACTTATTAGCGCCGGCGCGGCGTTAACTCTTCGCTCGTAACGTCGCGGCTGTTTGCTCGCTACATACTGACGAAGAACCGACTAAAGACGACAACGACGACGTCGACGACGACGACACGAGAAGGAAGAGAACGACTAACAGGCGGGGCTCTGAACCCCGTAACTGCCGCCTACCCGGCGCGGCTTGTTTATGCTACCCAGGACGGTGGCGTAGATTGCCGTGATTTGCATGCGAGTAATATTTAGATACCTTCCGTGCTCTATTAGATGTCACCGCGCGAACCCCGGTGTTATTGTTAATTCCGTAGGAATCACTCGGTGATCATTCTGGGGTAGACAGGCCTGTCTTCCGCATACGGTTGCGAAGGCGCATATACAGTGGGGATAGCGTGACTGCGGAATGGTTATTCCGTACGAGAGGAATTTAGGGATGTAAATACAGAGGATGTTTGCTGTACAGAATTAAGATTATTTGTTACAGTAAGGGGCCCAAAATTCGCCCCCCCCCCCAGCCCCTTCGAGGTTTTTTGATTCTTGTTCAAAAATAAGACACTTTGAAACGTTAATTAAAAAACCCTATTATCCCCTTCCCCTACAACATGGAGTCAGGCTCGTGTTGACGATTCCAAAATCGATTCAACGCAAACAAATATTTTTCGGTTTTCTTTGAGTCGAAGTGAAATGCCACGCTGCTGTCATTAATATTTAACTTTTACTGTAAAAATACAATTGCGATAAGTACAGAATTCCTTCGTTTCTGGGAAACTATCGACAACAATGTAATCCTGGAGTCTGCAGACGTCAAGAAAATCGTAGGGCAAGGGGTTATCACGTTTTCATAAAAGTTTATAGAAAGAAAGTTATGAAGGAATAAACATTTGTTTCTATAATTCCACGTCAGAAACTTGGTTTAACAGGAAACAATATGTAAGTAAAAACATAATTTAAAAAAAAATAAAATAATAAGAAAAACAATATCTTTTATTTCTGTTTACGGTGACTCACTCGCCCTGACGAAGGAAATAGAGTGAGGAGATTCTCGTATGTGTAGCTGTACTCGGTAAATAGCCGTCATATGCAAACGTGGCTCTTTAGCTTCTGGTTAATTAGGAAAGCGCGATGCGTGCATCTCGCGGGAGCGTCGTTTCACCCGGCTTTCACAGTTCAGGGTCCCTTTGAAAAGCTCAATACGCTCGTCTTTGAGCGTAGGAAGATTCGCTTTTGTGTCTTGTCTTGGCATTTGGTAGTCGAGACGTGTCCACAGTGTCTTATTTGTGGAAGAGATGGCTTACTTAGAATATTAAAATATAAACAATAGAACTTGTGTAATATGTCATACAAGTAGGTACATATGTATAACGCAAATGAAAGAATGATTCAGGATTCGTAAACGGAAGATCGACAGTCTTAAAGCTACAAAATGCGATTAATCGTTGCCATGATTTCTATCACTTTTTAGAGCACCGTCGATTCGAATGGTGGCTGGCATGTGGTGGTTCTTCACGTTGATCATGGTTTCCTCGTACACAGCCAATTTGGCTGCGTTTCTGACGGTAGATAAAATGGACACTCCTATCAACGACGTGGAAGATCTGGCCAAGCAAACGAAAATCAAGTACGGCTCTATTGACGGTGGATCCACGTCTGCTTTCTTCAGGGTAACGTTTCAATTTTAGTTAAATACTATCCCAGAAGTGGATCATACTTTACTGGAACAATGAATGTTATGAGAAAATACTGTACCATTATATTAATCGCTAGTAATTCTCATAATTTCAAGTCAAATTTATTGTTCAGTTAAGGAAAAAATGTTCTTTTCTATAATCGAAAAGTTTCCAGTGTTTTATGCCATTAGAACTTTTTTTTTTAGCAGATTCAATGAAAGACTGAAATCTTCTGACGAATCATGTTGTCCTTTTTACAGGATTCAAATTACTCGACCTATCAACGTATGTGGGCGTCGATGCAAGAGGCGAGACCAAGCGTCTTTACGAAAACTAACGACGAGGGTGTAGAGCGAGTCTTGAAGAAATACGATTATGCGTTCCTCATGGAGTCCACCACGATCGAGTACAGGATGGAGAGGAAGTGCGACCTCGACAAGGTCGGAGGACTCATCGACAACAAAGGATACGGAATCGCTTTACCGCGAAGTAAGTTTAACGAATCACCAATTTCTCTTTAGTCGACTGTATAGGAGGGTGATCGACAAAAAAGGTCCGTACTTGTAAGCCTTGTAGTACTCAACGAGAGAAGTAAAAAATATCTAATCAGCGTAGATCCTAAAAGCAATCCAGTGCTGTCAACAATGTCCATTCATTATTCTAACGTGGAAATAAAAACAGGGAAAGGATTGCTTTTAGAACCTACGTTGATTAGACACTTTTTACTCCTCTTGGTAAGTAATATAAGGCCTGTAATTATCGGATCTTTTTGTTTCACCCTGTATAATCGAAAGTAAATCAGATACAACTTTACCTAGGAACCATTTGTACTTGCTGGAGTAAAGTACCACATTACAACTACCAACCGAAATTATCAACTGATATCAATTACTAATGCAATGAATTAACAAGCTCTAATTAACAATCGACATAATATCTGCAATTCCAATATACTCAAATATCGTTTGCTGATTTAATGCTCAGTATAATGCTTAGGGGATAATCGATAACTCATAGAGAGTCGTATAATAGAAATTTCCAAAATTCAAACAAATGCCACTTGTATTGTTGTATTTACGTACAGTTTCGAATTGTTGATTTAACAACTGATTTTACAGTGTCAACAATCGATTAACGTGACATCAATATGGTAGGACACCTTTTGAGGTTCTAGGGAGGATGTTAAATATAACAAACTCGCAGAGAGTTTGTGAAATTCGACGGGAATAAATGAAAGATAATTTACTCTCTGGTAATTTTTATGAATTGGTTCTCATTAATAGGACAAAACTTTTTCCATATGTCTGTACCTCAATATTCTTTACATATTCTATATCTCTGAAGTTTCATATTACCTGCATATGTTTCTCTATTATTGCACAATTTTATATTTCTCTCTACTTTATCATTGTTATATCTCTGTATTATTTTCGGTTATTACGCAACTCCATTTTTCGACGAAAATTGCAGGGAAAATTGAGTTTTCGACGTCAGAATAAATGAAACCATGTGCACGTGCGCTTTAAAGAATGTCAAATTAAGCATAATCTTTCAGATTCTCCGTACAGAACTCCCATAAGTGGTGCAATACTAGTGTTACAAGAGAAAGGGGTGCTGCAAGATCTGAAGCAAAAATGGTGGAAGGAGCGCGGTGGTGGATTGTGCTCAAAGGCCGAGGCTGAAGCGACGAATTCCAGTGAATTAGGGTTGGCGAACGTCGGTGGTGTGTTCCTGGTACTTCTGTTCGGATGCTGTGGCTCGTTCGTCATCGCGCTCTTTGAGTTTCTCTGGAATGTGCGGAAGGTCGCTGTGCATGAAAAGGTGAGCTTTCATTTTTCCCTACGGAAAACCCTATCTCACCTCTTTAATCTCGAAAAACATGATAAAACTCTTCGCTATTTATACATGGAAAGATCGAGGAATAATTCCTTCCTCATATACAAATCATTCCATTATTCATACTGGGGGATAACACACACCTAGACGGTCGAAAATTCCACTATGCCCCTACGCCATATTTACCAACTGAAGGGTCAAAAATATATTTAGAATTTAAGCTAAATCGCTAAAACTTAAAACAAAGATATTTTTACTTTTTCTTTAAATTTTATTATTCCTAGTAAACGTATGTTCCACTATATAAAATTATTTTATAAAAATAAAGTGTCGTTACACGTGTTTAAATTATATTGAAAATAGAAAGCAGATATATCGGCTCAAGGTAATTTTCGGAAAACCCACAAACCGATATATTGGCTCTAAGGTACTAAAAGAGTTAAATTCGAAATAGCTTCGTTTCTCTAACGAAATGTGTATATCGAGGACTTCCTGTTGTTTCGCGAGAGATGGGGAACGGTCGGGCCGATGGGGGAATAGTGATTCTTTCGAACGATAATGCAAAAATAAAGAAAACGGAAGGAAGGTTCATTGTGGCGTTTAAAGCACCCGGCGGAATAAACGACGCTGATTTAATTAAGCGGCGCCCGGACACGAGACCATTTTTCGTCGGCGTTCTTTACAGGTCACTCCATGGGAGGCGCTGGTAGCGGAATTCAGATTCGCCGTGAACATTTGGGCGGAGACGAAACCCGTTAAAATCTCGAAAAGCAACGGCACGAGTTCGATGGGGGAGGACATCGGCCGGGCGGCGTCCACCGCTCGCTCCATAGTCGGCTCGTTCCTTCGTCTGGACATATTGGACAAATTCGACAAGGACAACGATACGAACAATCGCAGCAAGATCAATTAAGATGTAACGTTCGACATCGAGCAGCTATTCGTACTCTCGTCGTGGTACGACAGCTGTGCTCGTTATTATGCTACGTGTCTACCTGAGAATTTTACTCCCCAATGCAGAACCGACCTAACGAACAGAGATTTAAAAATCAATGTTTCGACAGCTTGTTTTTTGCAATAATCGTCACTTTTATACTTGTGAGTAAATTAAGAAATCGACTCTTAAATGACTACGCAGGAGTCACACTTGCGAGTTACTCTCATGTGGAGAGGTAGCATTAGGATTTCGCGAACGAAAGGGTGGATTTTTCAGGATATGATTATCCATTTGTGTCGATCACATTAATCTTAAAATTTTAACTTGTTTGAGACAATTTTACTTCATACAAGAATAATCCTTACCAGAAACAATTGTTTCATTCTCACAATAATATCTAACAAAGGAAAACAGACTGTAAAGTTTAACATAAACTGTAATTCAAGATCAGTGCTAATCATTTTCATCGATAAAAGTATAATCGATCAGTGAAATCTGCCAGTTCATTCGCAATTTAACAGTAAGTGTTCTCTGTCGCATTGCCTCTAACGTGCATACGTACAAACTAAACAAACTGATCTGAATTTTTATGATCGAACGCCCAACCTATATTTATCATAATCGTTAACCAATGACAAATGACCACAGTGGAATGGTCGAGAAGCGTATGCGTCTCAAAATTCGTGGAAACCATAGAAAGAAAAATGCCGGACCGCCCTACGCACCCGCGTATAAAGTCGTCATCCTCTGGAATAGTTTCACAATGACGACGTCATGGTAGGCAGAAACCTTCGCTGTAGGTCCGGAAAGGAATCCAACAATATTTGGACTCTGCCACAATGGCGCTAACGAACCGTGCCCTTGGTTTAGAAGACTTTCGTCCCGAGAAATCTCCTGGAGGTCCCGTGATACCGGAACCCCCTGGGAGTAGGTCGGCATCTTTGTGTCATTATTACCTAGGGACGTTTCACCTCCGTGTGAGCATCGATCGTCCGTGAGAGGACACTTTCAGCCGAGCCGACAGGACCTACGTCAGACGGAAGTCCCTATGCAATCGGGTATAGAAATGATGTCTATACAAATATCTTCATGGTCCTCGTTTGATAATTAATGTATTCGCAAAAGTTCTTCGTATTTCATAAACTAGCACTAATTTCAATTACATGCACAAGTTATCTCGTAGAATATGAAATGCACTTGTAAAATGGATCTAAATTTTCAAGATGAATAATATAATAATAGGGTGTCACAAAGAAAGGGTCTAAAACTTTAGGAGCTTGTAGTGACCGAATGGAGTAAAAAACGTTTAATCAACATGGTCTTAAAATAAATCATTTCGATGGAAAATCAGGTTTTATATTTATGAGCGTTCAATGACGTAAGTAGGTCACTTTGAAACGTATTGAATGCAAACAGAAGAATTGGTTTAGAAGTACATTATTGTATGTACATTATTACAAGGTTGTATGACAAGAGGCAATACAAAAGGAATATCTGAAAGTGTACGTCGATTTATGATCCACAGATCGGAATTTTGCATTGAAATGGGAGGAGTCTTCCTTCCTAAGTCTATATCAAATATCTGTAAGAACTATAAAACTAAATGTCTGTAATTTTCATCGAAACAATTCATATTGAGACCCGTGTTCAATAAACACTTTTTAAACCACTTGGTGAATAGGTACAGAAATGAGCACCTGAAGTCTCGGTCCCTTTTTTTAACACTCTGTATAACATGAATATCATATAATATAAATATGGATTATCGTCCAGCAGTTTGGAGTCGCGTGTCCCCCGAAATCAGAGTATAGTAGAATACCGATTATCCGGACTAATTGGGAGACAGATTCGTCTCGATAAGCGGCTTTTCGGATAATTGCTTAGGATAACCAAACTTTCGTATCTGTCATAAAACAATTCGGAAAGCCGTTTATTATATGAAAGTTCACGCGATACAAATAAACATTTAAACGGCACCTAACGCATGTTTAGCTTTACAAATGTTTCCAATAATCAATTATTTTCCCACGATAAACATAAAATATCATATTCTATAAATCACAAAAGGAGAAAGTTACACTGTGTTAACAAAACAGATCATAGAAATAATATTCCTCGAATATTATGAATTCATAACAGAATGGAGGTTATAAAAACGACACCCACTAGAATAAAAGCATACATATTCAACCGTAACAAGATCACCGCGAAACAAAATGGCCGCCTGAACAACCCCGTTCCACGTCACCTGAAGACCGTTCGGTATCATTCCGGTGCGATGCAGGTAACAAAAACCGAAACGAGCACGAAGGACCGTGGAGCAGTATCGTCTGTTCAGAACGTTAACGAGAGACAGACAGAGAGAGAGAGAGAAAGAAAGAAAGAAAGTTCATCGGTCGGGCCAGCAATTACCCAGTGAATTCTTTCCGTTGCGCGGGAAACACGCGGAAATCGATTCGATCCCCCTCCGAAAGAGATCGGTGTCCACAAAGCACGAACCACGCGGGCCCCGTTTAATTTCCACCGGCGTGAATCAAACGGGGTTGGGGGAGTGGAGGGGATCGACGAAAGTATGAAGTCGTATCGCTGTGCCTGCCACGATCAGCGGTTTGGTGATAAAGGTGTAAGGACATCAATTAATACTCGTTTTCATTGGGGCCGTAAAAGCGCGTAACACGATTACGGGCAACATTTACAGCCGGCGAACGAGCTGTTAACTGTACGGTATTTTTCGCGACGGGACGTTCATAATCGCGGGCGTTTCATGAAACGGAGAACTCTCTCTCCCCGCTATTCGTTCTCGTCTTTTTACGGTCACGCTCTCTCCCTCTCTCTCTCTCTCTCTCTCTACAGGGCTTGTCTTTTATGAGCCGGCGTGTTTAGAGCTTGATATGGCAGCTGGCAGTATATTATTCGGGCGAAATCTCGCGTGTTACAGTATGCGACGCAGTCGCCCACGGGCTAGTGATGGGGGTAAATTTTTCCTCTGGAGAACCTTTTTCATTGTAAATTTATATTGATCGAAAGTACGTATCGAATAACAAGCGAAAATATCAGTTTTGAGTTTAGGAATTTGTGCGTTGAAAAGTTATTGAGCAAAAAATAATTCAGAAATTTTCGTGTATTTTTTAATCTTTAATGTGACCCACTCAACATAAATCAGTATAATGCTTTGAACAGTTTTCTTTTGATTTGTTTCTTAACTAGCTCTGACAAACTCAAGCCACTGCGTTTGCAAATTTAAACTTGAAAGATGAACTCTACTCTCATGCTTCCCACAACCTATCATATGCAACAATCACTGTAACTATCATAATAAAGACTAGAAAATATAACAAAATTTCTCAAGATATTTCGCCTCATAACTTTTCAAGGGAACGATTCCTAAACTCAAAATTGGTATCGTTAAACTCTATACAACAAGTATTTTCCATAAATATATGTTTCGACCCAAAAAAAAGGTTTCTCGGACGAAAAATTCACATAGCGATGGCGATATATTTGAATGATATAATGTCAGAGTCGCGATTTGTACTTTGAAAGGAAAAATTATTATAGTAGCATGATATATTAATAATTCCATAGCTTCGACAGTTGCAAAAGTGATCGATTTGTAATTGACTTTTAAAAAAGGAGACAAGTGGACTAAGTATGAAAATTCATCGTGTGTGTGAAAGAATTTATCGCTTAGATGTAACAAAAACATAAAAATTACTAAAATCTTGATCACGATTATAAGAAAAAGTAAATTATTAGGTGTACCAATGAGTAATCGTGCAGAGTAATAAGTAAAAACAGAACATTCTTAATAACATAGCGATTTTGTTTGTTAAAAGCGTTGTAGGATATTAAAGAACACTAAGTTTTTTCTTTCCTTAAAATAATCGATTACTTATTATTATGCTTAATACTAACATGTTAGATGTTTTCGAAAATAGATATACAATTGTGTACCGAATACAAACAATAACATCGAAATAAAGAAATGCCATGCTCTATAAAAAGCCATTCTTCGATCTACATTATACATAATATTTTCTTGGAACAGCTCTCTAAAGACCAGACATATAATATGAATAACCATAAAATCGCCAATTAAATCTTTCAACACCCTTTCCAGGGAGCATCATTTTACCTGCTGTCGAAGAGAACGGAGAGGAACGACGGGGACCCCGGGGGCCAGCCAATGCTAATTAAAGATACGCATTACATTTAACGATCGCCTGTTCGGGATTCCAAATATTGAAGAAAATGGTTCAAAGACACCGAAAAGGCAATAATAACGCGGCGTGGTCCGCTTTAACGACGCCCCGAACCAATAAAGTGTCGCTTTCAGAGGAGAGCACCGAGCGGAATCCATTCCGGGCAAACGTGACTAGTAAAACTCGAGTCGGATGTGATTCAAATGGCCGTGGATTTAAATGTCTAGCGGATTCAGATTATCGAGGCATCCCTCCCCTTCCCACACTGTCCCCCCTCCACCACTTAATCGACGCCAGAATAAATCCCTCGTGCGCGGGGGTTAATTAAGTTTTATGGTACGAGCGTCGAGGCGGCCGTTACGCAGGTGTAGGGGCCGCGTTATCTACGATACATCTTCATCTTCTGCGAGGCTGACTTGGCCAATTGAAGCCTCTCTCCTTCTACCGATGGTACACGCGCGCGCGCGACCGAGCTCACGATCCTTATCGCCTCCCGGTGAAAACAACAGGTGCATGAAATCACGGACGCCGCTTCGAGATCTACCGTCCGCTCTCTATGTCCTTTACGACCGCGCCGAATTTCAAATAGGATCGTAAACTTGTGTATCCTTGTACGCCCCCTCCCTCTCCCCTTGGTAGGTAGGTACGTCTTCCTGGTGGAGCTCGTCGACCCTCGTATATTCCGTCGAGCGAGAACAGAGAAACCGGAAAATGTAATATTGATCCGATCGGATGACTTTCGACGAATGACGTCGAGTCCTATTGTTGACGTAGCTTTGTAACGATGGTGTTCCGGAAGTACGTTACTGATGGACAAATTTTTATTGGAACAATGCACAGCGAGTAGAAATAACGTTTGTGACTGAGAAAGTGGTGTGAATGACGAAAAGGAGAAATTTACACGACTTACGCTATTTTAAGAGTTTCGTCCTGACATTGAAACAGTTCGTACAATTGAAGTTTAATAGTTGATATGCTAGTGTGTATTCAACAAACGGTATGTAAGTAGTTTCTTATCTTGTGGTCTTTATTCCACACTACTTCTAATACAGAATTTCGAAATTTCAGAAAATTCCTGGTTTCTAATAATCAGCATAGATGTCAGAGGATCCAAGTTTATATCGACCTTCATCCTTGAACGATAGCCTAGATACTTCATCCATCCAAGAATCAGGTGTTACCCACAGGTATAAAGTTACTACCTTATATTCAGACTAGACCAAATTTCTTAAATTTCATTAACCCTCACTTGACAGCTCTTATTCCGTTCCCACATTCATAATCACTTGTCACTGCAGTACCTTGTCCTCATCACAAGTTACAGATGCATTATTCTAAGCCTCTAAATCCTCTAGATTCCGATACAGAATGCGTGGCAGTACGTTGGCAGACCGCCGTCAACCCCATCCCGATTCCTCTCCTCCATTCTAATACCCTCGATCTGCACGAGGAAGTGTCACTCGTAGTGTCTCAAAGACGTCAGAAAAAAGATCAAAGACCCTCCTGTCCCTTCGAGACGAAAATCCTGACCCGACCACGAGCAACAACGTCCCAGGGTATCGTCTGGATAAGCCATCCGGCTCGGTATCAGCTGACCGCTGGCCTCGAACCTCTGTCTCTTTCTCTCTTCGTTCGAGTGACATTCGCAAAATTGTCGGCATACCTTGTGCCAGAGGGACGTGGTCGAAGGAGGGGGGAAGATCGGCGAGTCGGGGCCGTCTACATAAAATCCAGAGGTGTTAAGCAAGGAAGCGTGGATGGAAGCTGAAACGTAGACGGTGGAAGGGAGGGCATCTACTCTCTCAAAGGGGGCACCGCGGGCCCGGCGCTCGCTCGCCGGCTCGTAGGAATTGAAATTGATTTCGGTCGACTTCCATTACTCAAAGAGGACCCGGAGAACGCGCGCACCGACAAAAGTCACAGGACCGATCCTCCGCGGATAAGAGGCTTGTCCCCGTGGCCGCCGGGACCCGCTCGAACGAGACGAGAGGTCCCAGGCCAGCCGTGGCCCAGGAATTCCTGGCGAGTTTTACCAAACGGGAGAGGGAGCCGAAGGCTTTTCTCCCTCTCCGCCTCGATCCTCCTTTCTATCGTCCGCTGGTCGACGGTGGTGCGGAATCAATTTTTTCGGTGGCTGCGACGGGGTTGAAAGGGTTTTCGCGACTGGACGCTGGTGGATTGTTCTTAGGACGACCGGGATCTTTTGTTTCGGGGAAGGAGGCAACATGACAATCGTAGATATTCGTATGTGGAGACGTAAGTAGCCTCGAGGATAGGGGGAAATGATGAAGGAACATCAGGAATGTTACGTAGGAGCAAAAAGCAGAGATGGATAAATTCATTGTCTAGATAAAAAGTTTTGAATAACGAATATACAATAAAAACAAAGTGTTTCGCCAGATGTATAATTAATATTATTTTAAATGTTCTACGGGCAATTTTAATTTTATATGGCTTGGTAATTATATTTGCACAATGTAAGGATTGTTCTATAGGCTGGTAATTTTTTGCAAAATAAAAATTAGTACTGTGTTTAACCAATTGTTTTGTCGTTTTGAAGGTTAATATGTGTCTGCATAATTTGACCCAATTACGAATCAATCATTTGTATAACATAATAATGAATGGTATGTTCTTAAATCGTTTAAAAATGTATGCTTTTATGCAGGTAGTCACAATCCGGTCGCCACAGTTGTCAGGGTGGCCCGCTTGGAGGCCTGGCTCGAAATTCCTGATGGACTCGTCAGAATTTTCCATTGTGTCACCGGCTGCCGCAGTCTTTATGACTGACGGTAATCATCAGAGAACCCTAGACCACCCGGTAGGTAGGTACCACTCCAGAGAACTTCCGGAATCTTTCTCTCTGCTCGGGCTCTTCCCGGTAAGGGAGTTGGACGCTGTGTTCGGGGAACCCGTATCTGCTGGAGTCGTCCGTCGTCGTCGTCGTCGCCGGGGGATTCAAGAAAGTTTCGCTCGAATTCGTGAGTACATGAGTATTACATTGGTACACGGACACTTCAACGAATCGTGGAATGGAATCGGGAAATCGTATTCGGGCTTCACGAGGTGTGGATGAATGTTT